ATTTTTAATAAATATTAATTAACAATATGCTAAATTTTTATTTTAGCTTAGTAATAGGGGGGCTTATTCTTAATAAAGTTTTTAGTAATTCTAAAAAATTATGTTAAAAAAAATTCTAGCAAGCATATTTGCCCACTGGATGGTTTAAGGAATACTTTTTTAAGTTTTTTTTTATTTTAAAACATGCTATATCTTTTTAGAATTTTTTTTTGAAGAAGGCAACTTTTTAATACTTTTACCTAATATATTGAATTTGCAAGTTTCTTCTTTTATACTAAACTATTTATTACTAAAATTATATTAAATACTAAAGCACTTTTATTTATTTATCATATTCTTTATTATAATTTTTGGTCTTACTTTGGGTGTATAAAAGATAAGTTTATATTAATTATTTTTGTATAACTAATTTATTTAAATTAAAACTTCTACTAGTTTTTCCCTGCTATTTTCTACTTTTGAATATTCTCAGCTTCTTTTATTTTGCTATTTTATTATGTGATTTTGAAATCTGAGTTTTTGATTTTGAACTATACTCATCTATTAGTCTTTCAATTATACATGTTTTACTCAATTTTGGTTTGATCATATTAATACACCAATCGAGTATGGGGTATGATTATTGATCACCTTATACAGAATCACAGCCTGCAATCTATATATCATATAAGTACAACTTACTCTCGTTATAGTAAAGTCTCCTGGGCTAAAAAAATTTCACTATAGTTTATATCAAAAGAATACTATATGTACTTCACTATATCAAGTTGAGGTTTAATAATTCTGGATTTAAAAATTCTTTACTATATTAAATCTTCACTATAATGCGAGTTCACTATAACAAGAGTGAGTTGTAGTATGTATATATATATAATAATTTTAGCATATTCTAGAGCTGCATTTATATATATATATATATATATATATTTGAAATTAAGATGATCTTTATTGGCCTGGAGAACTTTTTATTAAAGTATAGATAAAGTTTTATAGTGTAATTTCAACAATGGTATATCAAGCCATATATGCACTTTTGTGTCTAATTTAAGTAGTTCACCCAAAGCAGTAGTAGCAATAGGAGTACTCATTTAAACTATCTGGTTCAACTACCTTCATCAGCCCTCTAACCCAAAGGACTTCCTCACTAAACTAAGTAGATATTGGTGTTATCTCACATTGGCTTTCACACCTTGCCTTAGAACTTACTAACCTATATAGAACTAGTTTATCCTTGAAGTAAACCTAACATAGCAGTACATGTCCAACACATGTATTTACATGCTTGTTCCAATAACTTCTTTCTAATTAGTACATATTGACCTGCCATTTCATATTTGTATCTCACACAACTTTTTGGGATGCTGCCATTCTATGAATGTTTCTCAAGCACCAACCTTTCTAATTAGGTGCCTATTACATACTCCTTGCCCTTGTTCTGGTTTCCAGCAACCCCAATATCTTGCATTTAGACTGTCTTCTTATCCAGATTCTTTATTAGTTCCTCTCTTACTTCTAGCTAGCAATCTGGAAGGGTTAGTCTGCCCAGGCTTTAGGTATCTAAAGAACACTCTCCCTTAGTTCATACTTTCAGAGCATATATTTTTTTTTCCCTTCAGTGCAACAACCCAGCAGTTCGGCTAATATGTCTTTCACTATTAGAACCTGCAAGATGGTATAAAGACATTATACATATTAAATTAGATTTTAATATTAAAAACTCTCCTGTACTTACCACATTAGAATCACCTTCTAATAGTTCATTTCAAGTAACATTTGCTTTTCAAAGCATACAAAATTTCAATAAATCTACTTATAACAAAGTTGATCACAAACATGTTTCAGAAAAAAATTGATATGAAATTGCTTTTTCAACGGCCAAGACAGCCATTAATATTGTTTTAGAAAACAATAAAGATGCCGAATTGGTTCAGTTACTAAAAGATTTTATTGCAGCAAATCAAAAGGAATATAAAACTGATACGGATAAAACTGAAAAGAATATTAGTACTGAAAATTACAACTCTAAACAAAATCAGAATACAAGTGAAATAATTTCATTACAACAGCATTCAATTGATTAAATTACTAGCCCTAAAGTTACTAAAATTTGTGGCGCTCCACATAAAAAAAGAATTAAGGCTAGTATAGAGATATCAAAAAAAAAAGTTTTAAATAAAATTTTAAATACTGTTCAAGAAGCTAATTATAGTGAAACAAGCTCAAAACAGCAACACAAGTGTTTGATATGTAAAGGTTATTATCAGAAGAAATGTCATTTAGTTAATAATAACGAAAATGAATAATATAACATATTATATGTAATTGCTTATTTGCTAATACTTTTAATAAATTAAGCATTATAACAGACGCATATATAAAGTATCATTTATTTCTTGTAATTTAGTATAATTAGTGAAGCAAAAGCAATAGTTAAAGTGTAGTATAATAATTACAGTATCTAAATTGATAAAGTTACCTGTTTCCAATAGTTAGAATAAGTGTTAATTACAAAAGTGAGTTAAGATATAAAGTTAGTATAAAAGTGAAGCAAAAATAGTAGCTAAAATATAATATTAATACATAGTAAGAGTATTATATGTAAAAAAGTAATTACTTAAAGCAACCAGTAATGACAATTACATACTAATGAGTACTGTAGCACTTATATGTTATGTGCTACAATATTGACTGTTAAAATCAATATAATGGATAACTTGTCTGAGAGTACAGGTCATGTGTGCGTAGCTGCTTTAGAAATACGCTCTATGAGATGACTACCTAGGTATGAGCAAAGCAAGCATCGTATAGCAACTATATAATGACTTGATAATATAGTTTAGTTTATATTCACTTCTATTACATATTGTTATAAAATCAGGTTTGTATTATATAGTGTCACGTAGCAAAATTCTTATAAAAAAATATTTACATGATAGAATATAACAAATTAAGTGACAAATAAAGTTTAATTATAGTGGTTAATAATTATTCGTCACAACTGTTAATTTATATTAAATTACAGTTTTGTGTAACATGCTATAGTACACGTGATCTGGTAAAATTCACCTCTGGTAAGTGTTAAAATTTTTCTTTTATTTTATATTTGCTGTATGTCTGCAAAATAGCACATAGGAAGTTATTTTGAATTTCAGCCCGAATTAAGCTTAATTTAGGCCGAAATTCGAAACCACACTTCATCACGTTATTTTGTGGTTATATGGTATTTTTTAAATTTTTACTTTTTTATATGTTCTTTTTACCGGGGCATCAAAAGGGAGGAGGAGGGTGATGTTAACTAAAAAATTAACTTCAAATGGCCTAATGCATATTACTGTAATATAGTAAATTTTTCATGATATATTATCTGTGACCATTTATACCATCTCATTTTCACATGTGCAAAATGATTGTAACAGACAATAATTTCATAATAAGAGGATACTATATATTGAGCAATTCATTCTAAATGATTCAACTCATTATCAAGACACAGAGTTATCTTGAAACTTTCACAAGATTTTTATGAAATGTCTAAGAATAAAAATATGTTTAAGATTCTTTATTAACTTGCAGGTTTTGGGCATTCGTCTTTTAGAATGGTTTAAATTTTTTAATTAGAATAAAAATTTTATCTTAAGCAGTAATTTAAAAATTATTGAGAACTTCTACAAAAATTAAACATAGTTACTTTGAAATAGTTCTGATGCGTGTTTCTAATCGAAAGAAATTAGAAAAATAAGTATACTATTTGTGTGAATCCTTTAGAATTTTACACTTTTACTAGCATAATAGGTGGCACTATGCGCCACCCCTATCTTGGTGACATATAAGTGTTGTCAAGAGAAACCTATCAGGCTTTCAATTATATTTTGTATCAACATATTCCCTAAGAAATTAAATAGATTTTGTCCAGTATAAAATATAACTGAAAGCTCAATGCAGGTTTTCCTTTGGCAGCAATCATATAATTAAATTACATAAATATCGTGTTTTTATTATGTGTCAATTGTTATAGAACTTATACTATAACATGATTTCTATTGTGAGTTATTGTGAAAAAATTCTGTTATATAACTTACACGCTATTCAATGACACAGTAGTTAAATTAGCTAGTATTAGGATTATCATATTTTTATTGTGGGTTAACTATAAAATAATATTGAATCAATGTTACTTGCCCTACAACAATTTGTCTGACAGCTATTTTTTAGTAATATTTTTAAGAATATTATTAAAAAAATAGCTGTCAGACAAATTGTTGTAGGGCAAGTGACATGGAC